GAATGGTTGAAAAAGCTGGGTATGTTTAGCCTGGAAAAGATGAGACTGAGAGGAGATATGATAGCCATCTTCAAATAACTGAAGGGCTGTCACTTTGAAGATGGAGCAAGCTTGTTTTTTTCCTGTTCCGGAGGGTAGGACTCGAACCAATGGGTTCAAGTTACAAGAAAGGAGATTCTAACTAAGCACCAGCAAGAACTTTCTGACAATAAAAGTTGTTTGACAGTGGAAGAGTCTCCCTTGGGAGCTAGTGGAGGTTTTCAAGGTTTTCATTTGAGGTATTTAAGCAGACGTTGGATGGCCATCTGTCATGGATGGTGTAGCTGAGATTCCTGCATTGCAGGAGGTTAGACTAGATGACCCTTGGGGTCCCTTTCAACTCTACAGTTCTATGATTCTGTGTCCTGGTACTTAACTCTTTGCAGTTTTGGCAAAATGGTCCAGGAAGATCATAGGTTGAATTCTATGCAGGAGTCTCATGCATTGTTTACCCTAGCTCAGGGATGGTCAACATAGTGTCCTCAAATGCTGTGGACTACAACTCCTATCAGCCCAACCTGCATGGCCAATGATAAAACATAATGAGAGTTGTAGTCAGCTTGCCAGATGGAACAATACCCCCTTTCCTTCCCCATGAGCTGTTCTGGGGGGTTTTCCACCCACCCCCAAGCCAATCTGGGGGAAGGCAGAAGAAAAAGAGTGGAAAAAGTTCCACTGTGCTAACAGAAGTCCTTGTGTGGACTTACATTAGAGGGACTCACTTGAATCCAGCCCGGTGTTGTTATTATCATTCTTTCATTTCACTTATGAATCACATACCATGCTGAATTACAATATAAATAAAAACAGTTAAAACAATTGCATCCATAAAAACAAAAATGGCTCCTCCAAGTATTGTTGAATTCCAGCAGCTTCTGCCAACCTGGCTTATGGTCAGGGTCAGTGGTGCTTACCTCTGATGTTCTTCAGAAGTAAACACCAGTACCCCTGACCATTGGCCATGCTGGCAGGGGCTGATTGGAGCAGGAGTCCTACAGCATCTGGAAGGCTATGGGTTTCCCATCCCTGTTCTAAGCAAGTATCAGTCGAAAAAAGTGCATTACATCAGAGTTTCATTTTATTGGAACCCTAACCCTAAATACTGCCATCCAAATAAACTCATTGGTCTTCATGACTAACTCTTGATAGTCATTATCTGAGGATAATAATAATAATAATAATAATAATAATAATAATAATACTTTTATTGTTTATACCCCATCCATCTGGCTGTGTTTCCCCAACCACTCTGGATGGCTTACAGCATATATAAAAACACAATAAAACATCAAACCTCCCAGTACAGGGCTGCCTTCATCCTAACATGGTTTAGGAACATTTCTTCTAGATCAGACTACCCCAAGGACTAAATGTACAGCAACTTTCATCAGATCTTTATTTCCACTCATTGCTATTGTTGCTGTACCCATTTTCTGAAAGGATAGATTCGATCAGACGTTTGTTTGTTTCTAGCTCTGCACTATTGTTTTACAATGGAATGCTGAAGAGGTTAGAACTGTGGACAGACCAGCTCTAATTTGATACACTTGCTCTGATTTTGCCCTTCAGACACAGAGTTCTAGAATGAGCAGGCAAATAGAATAAATTTGATTCTTGGAATGGAACCTCCTAATGACCTCTAAACCCTGGGACAAGGTGATTTTAATGAACCATGGGATACAAATTACAGATTAAGTTCATTTTAATGGAAGCACCATGGACTAAGAAAAGGAAACCATTCTCACTACAAGCAATAGGAATTCTTCCTGGAGATAATGAAATTTGAGATTAAAAATAACATCTGAGCAGTATAGTATTACAAGATCAAAGAAAAGTTCAGAATGGCTCTTTGTCTTTGTACACAGATTTCCATGCTGTCTCTGTTCTTCAGATTGCTTTTACTCAATGTGAGCTCTGACATTTTTGAACCCAGAGAATCTTTATTTTGAAAAGAAATACTTATACTCTGCTCCTTTTTATATAGTACAGAGAGATGGATGTCGGAGGAAATAAAATGGCACCCCACCCTGGAAAGTGTTCGTTCCATTCCATTCCATTCCATTCCATTCCATTTGTATACCATCTTTCATCTGAGGTGAGGCCATGTACCACTTAGGGAAAGGGGAGTTTTGTTTTGGCCATGCATTGAATACATCCAGCAAATTCACTGATTCTACACACTAAGCTGCAACCCTAAAGCAGTGGGGAAGAACTGGGTGTGGAAAGGTAGTAGTTTCATCCAACGCACTGCTGGTTTTGTACAGCAGGGCAGAAGGGAGGGTAACAGAGTGTTTTTGCTCTCCTCCATTCATGCCCAGATTTCTTTTCTTTTTAAAAAAACTTGATTTCCCTCACATTGGGAACAGTCAAAAGGAAATAAACTACACCAGATCCAGGGCTGACATAGACCCCCCCAACATGACTTGAAGGCATATTCCTGAATCCAGCATTGTCACTAGAGTTTTCCTCCCAATGCAAATAGCAACTTCAGAGGAGAGGTTTGAGTTTTTGCAATTGGCGGCCAAAACACTGGTATGAAGAGTTTCTTTTGGTTTGGGGCACAGTTGCTGCTTCATTACCAGCTGCTGTTCTTACCATGGGAAATGCAAATCACGATTCTGATCCTGCGGGAAGAGTTTTGTAGTTTTGTAATGTGACTAGATGAAACAGTCTTGAGTTTAGCAGCTCTTGGGAAGAATTTGCCTGGAGTTTCTCCACAGGGTGACTACTGTGAGAACAGGCTGCTGGACTAAATGGACCATTGGCCTGATCCAGCCTCTTCTTCTTGTGTTTTTACATGGTTGCTGTTGCTTTGGGGAAAACTGGTGTTGCCATCAAGACAAGAAATGCCCCAAAAGTTGTTTCCTCTGTTCAACCTATACAGTGGTGCCTCGCAAGACGAAATTAATCCGTTCCGCGAGTGTCTTCGTCTAGCGGTTTTTTCGTCTTGCGAAGCAACCCTATTAGCGGCTTAACGGATTAGCGCTATTAGCGGTTTAGCGGCTATTAAAGGCTTATCAGCTTAGCGGATTAGCTGCTAAAAGGCTATTAAAGGCTTAGCGGCTTAGATAAAGGGGGGGAAAGCGAAAAAAAAATCTCAAGACTCGCAAGACATTTTCGTCTTGCGAAGCAAGCCCATAGGGAAATTCGTCCTGCGAAGCAACTCAAAAACGGAAAACCCTTTCGTCTAGCGGGTTTTCCGTCTTGCGAGGCATTCGTCTTGCGGGGCACCACTGTATTAGAAAAGCACCATGAGTTGGATCAGACATCACCCTTCGGCTCATGAATCCTGCAGAAGGTGAGAAGTTCTCTTATCCCCCTGAAGCCTCCTGTTCCAGAAGGTTGAGAGACATGGAAGATGGCATGGAGGGGTCTGCAGAGGAGGAAGAAACTGACAAAAATGCTTTGATATGCGGAATTCTCCAGTGAATTCAAACAATCCCATAAATTTCAAGGACTATCTTCTCAAAAGTGACCTGGCTGTCCAAAAGCTCCCTACTCTTTGGGGAATTGGGGAACATTAGCCATTATTCAAGATAAGCATTTCAATATCCCGTGTTCTCTGCATAAGCAACTACCACTACAGAATTTTGTATGCTGTTCTCAAAGGCCCTTTTCCCTCCACTTTATCTGATGTTGCTATCAATTTTTACATAATTGGATTTTCTCTGAAACTCACCCATATATCTTTATTCAATTATATCTTGAGAGAGTGATAAATATATTCTAGGCGCCTCTTGTCTTTGAACATATTATTGGTATTATTTTTATCGTAATGATATCCTTTCTCCTAGCAATACTCTTAAATCCATATCATGTGGGTTGTCTTTTCCTGAACGATGCTAAGGATGCCTTTGTGGTTTTGGAAGCATTACTTCTGAATGTCATTAATAAGGGAATATTAGATAAAAAGTGGAAGAGGCCCATTTTCAAATCAAACGTGTTTGGAGAATGGCTCAAATGGTGAGATGCAGCAGCAATTGTAATCCAACATTGGTATAATATATCCCCATTTGTTGAGCAAAAATGACCAGCTTGGTTAATTCAAATTGTTGGACTGAGTGTGGGAATTTTGGATCCAACCTTCATATGTGGTGAACATGCCCATTAGTCAATACATTATGAGTATGGGTTTTCAAGGAAGTAGAAAATATGAATAATAATAATAATAATAATAATAAAAAATTTTATTTATATCCCGCCCTCCCCAGCCGAAGCCGGGCTCAGGGCGGCTAACAACATGTACAAAATGTCCCATTTAAACCTAATTTGGTCCTTTTCTCCATCTCTGATGACTTGACATGGGGCTTGCTGGAGAAAGAGCTGTGTGTTCTTACTAACTTACCATTGCTAAATATTGCAGGTCTTTGAGAACAGATTTAATGTTGGACTTGCCCCAGCAATTTCGGCACTTAGCCCTAATGAAGAAACTGTCCTTTAAAATCCAAGTGCATCGATACAACCAAACAAGATAATTTTTACACCATCTGGGTTACTTCTATTAATTATGTGGAAATAGAATTGATTCCACCCACCAGCGGCTTATCTGGAAGGATATTCTGGGAGAAATGGACTCAATGGAACAAGAAGTTTAGTTTTTAGGATGCTTCCTGTATTCCTTTTCTGGTTAAATGTTTTTCATTTGAAGTCACATTTGATCAATGTCAGTTTAACATTCAAATTGTCATTGCTTTTTTGAACAGGCAGTTGTGAAAAAAATACTATGATTAAAGACACTACTTCAACTTGGAGATTAGTGTATTGATCAGAAGATGTACACAGTTCCGTTGAGATATGTACATTTCCCAAACCTGCTGGGGATTCTGCATATTGACTGGATTATGCAGCTTGTAAATGTTCACAATGGCTAGTGCACATTATCCATTCTATTCACATAACCACAGGTGTATATGTATATACATAGACTGTTATCTTTCTCCCATTACTTACTTTTCTCTTTTGCTGTAACAATTTCTAGGGAATGCACACAATTTTACCCCATCTAAACACTTTCTCAACTATTTTCATCATGTAAACTGTACTGAGACATAAAATAAAGAGAAGTCTCCAATTTGTCAAGTGACTGTTGCCTTTCACCACATAACTGATTTATGAGTACAGTTGCCATTTGTCAATGGGTCCTCAGCTCATGTAGGATGGGAAGCAAGCAGGAATTAGCAAATGAGAATATTATTTTAATAAAATATATTTTCACATGGTAAGATTGCCAATAAATCTGGCCTGAATTCACATAAGAAAAAATAGCCTGAGTTTGTACCCCACCCCACTGGTTTCTCAGAAGCACCCAAAATAACGTTTAAATAATGAAAACCAGACTGTTCACATATATTATTTCTTTCTGTGTGTCTTCTATATCTGACATGAAGTTCTGTTCTCAGACCATGATTTCCTTTCTGTTGCTCATGTCTTTTCATAAGCCAAGGATCTTTGGAGGTTGGTACCAAGCAATGGTGTATAATTCTACAAAAACAATACATCCCAACATTGAATATGAATCAAATGATTACTGCTGCATCCCCAAGGCAAAGACAGAATTTTTCTTGCTGTGTGTAAAAATATCAGCAAGAATACCAAATAGTAGATATCATGTATTTTATCTTCAGTAATTTCATAAAGAATTATTGCCCTGCACCCTGCAAAAACAACATCCCACTGCAGATAACATATGTTCTAATTTGCTCCAATTGGGATTTTAGATTACTTAGAAATGCAGAGTTCTAGTGAATAAACCTATGGCATTCTGACAGATTTTGCAAACAGAGCAGTCTTAAGCATTTTCATGATTACTGCTAAACACTTATATAGAAATTTTAAAACAGAATATAACTTGGATGAAGATAGAGTTTTGCAAGAGCTTTGTGAAGTGGTTGTTCCTGAAGTGGTTATAATTTGAAGCTTAATAACTTGCCCAAGACCACCCAGTGGATCCTCTTCTGACCATGGGGTGGAGAGAAGGGTTGGTGACAATGTGGTTCAACTCAGGATGGGATAAAATCTCCTCAAATCACCTTGATTTGCCTTGTTATTTGGCCCCATCACAGAACAGTTCTCAGCGACAGACCAAAACATTTTGGCACAAAATGGTGTCTCCCTCCCCATCAGAGAAGAAGGGGTATGTGAAGGTCTGCATCAGGAACAAGGGAGGGTTGGCAGAATAAAGAGCTACAACGGGGATCTGCTGCCCCTGTGGATCCTGCTGCCTAAGGCATCACCTCACTTCGCCTCATGGGTGGGCCGGCCCTGACAGTTCCATACACCTAGCACTTACCATTCTGAGAGCATAGGTAAGCACATCATGCAATATGTATCTGTAAGAAATGGATTGCCTTGTTAAAGCACATCCAATCAAATGTTATTTGCTAGTATATTGTCAATGAATTATATCTGAACATCAGTACATTCAGTGAAAGATTTTTCTTCTTCAGATAAATCTGATTACAGTTCAAATCTGAGGGGACAGGTGGGGAGTCTGATTGGGCAAAATTAGAATAAGTAAGAAAGAAGCAAAAGGTAGAAGAAAGCATGGAATAAATTATTCATTATGAATTAGTGGCCTCCGTGTTGTCAGCAAAATTATTATCCTGTAAGCCCAAGTGTCCCCTTAGAGAGAGAGAGAGAATTGTTTCCTTATCTAATTCTTCCCTGTGGGTGGCATTGACCGTGATTGGCCATAATTGAGATGTTTTGAATGAGCCAAGCAATGTCTTGACTCCAGCCACTGCCTCTTATCTCTCGAGCATTGTCCTCTTAGGATTAGTACATAAGTAAGCGTGCCTCATACACTTTGCAGATCCAGACGTGAATATTTCTGCTCACAATGCGGCTAACAAGATTGTTATTGACAGGAAAATAAATTCCTTGGCATGAAATATGATTCACTCCACTCTGTTTACGTGCAAAGTAAATCAGAATTAAGAGATAACAAACTGTTTCCTGTTTCTGTTATGGTTTTTAATTCATCAGCACTTGAAGTATAGGAGAAGAATCAGACTGATGTTTGTGACAGAAGGCAAGGTTTGGGTTGAGAGGTCTGGAGCATGAAAGAGAACAGGGTGGCAGATGCCTTCTCTCAGAAATACTCCTGAAAAGGGGCCTTTTCTGCAATGGCCCTGAGGCTATTGCATGCTTTCCCTGCTATGCTCTGGCAATCCCCAAGTGCTGAGCATAGGAATTGCAAAGCCATTGTTTAGTGCTTCCTAAGTGCCTGACAACCAGCTGGTTCTGGCGCTTGGTAAGTGCTGTAAAAGGGACTTTGACAGGTGTCAATCACCAGGTGTCATGATGACACCTAATGACTGACAGGTGGGTTGTTCCTCCCACCCATCAAAGTTGGCCAACAGGGGGAGATAAAACCTGCCCCGCCAGGCTAAATAGGTTCCCCACCGTTGTTATATGGTATTGTATTTTAATTGTGTACCTGGTAATATACAATGGGGGCATTAAAATACTTTAAGTAAAAATTAAAAATGAATAGAATAGCCTTAAATAGCTGATTGAAAAAGTTGTGTTTATATGAGCCTTTCTGTTTCTTTCCTCATTTATCCAAATTTATCCAAATGTTGATCTTAATGGTGTTTCCATATTACTGTGTGATGACAATTTTGGTGAAATGAAATGGGAATGATAAAAGAAGAAATCCCCCTGCTGTTCAGGCCACTGTGCTTTGAAAAGCACTTATACCACAGAATTTATGTTTATTTGTTTTTTTTCTTATTAATTTACTTTCCTTAGATGGAAGACCATTTTGTCTTGTGTGTATAGATTATAGGGCAGACCCACTACATTAATGAAATTAGGTCCATTAACTTTAATGGATCCACACTATTTAACACTCAGTTGAATAGCACCCATAGATATTAGCCCTACTTAGGTATTCTTCACTCCATTGTTGAATAACATGAGAGCAGTGAGTTTGGCTGTGCTGAGTAGCTCCACCTTAAATGTTGGACCCTCCTCTCTTGACAGGTGTGCATACAGGGTGTCTTTTGTGTCTACTTGTATAAATGATGGCTTCTCCAAATTCTGTGACCCTAATCCTCAAGATGCCTTTGTGTGTGCAACGGCATTTAAATGTATGTATTGACATTAGAGAAGGAGAATATGACATTGGTGGTGGGGCTACTCAGTTCAGCTCTGCTCCTTACTTCTGTCTTGCTCATCATGGGAATTAAAAATAACTCATTAGGGTTATATATGTGCATGTGTGTATATGTAAAAATGAAGCATTGATAGAGTTAATTATCTGTTCGGATCATTCAACCTACTGAAGACGAAAGAGCATGAAGTTTCGCTTGTAAAAACATAAGAAGAAGCCAATCTAGTCCAGCATCCTGTTCTCATAGATGCCCATGAGAAGCCCTAAGCAGAATCCAAGGGATGGAAGAAATTCAATTCAATTTGCATGTAAATGTGAATCTATAAAATTTGCACTTTTCTGAAACAATATATGAAATGAAACACAACCATTCTTCGAAATTCACAATTCTCCCAATTTTATAATGAACTTCTACATCCAATCTTTGGAAAATTCATATATAAGGGGAAAGTTTGAATAAAATGAATATATTAGTGAAAATAGCATACAAAATGCACTTCTATTAAGATAAATTGCTTCTAAAAATGTGTACTTTAATCAAAACAGCATATAAAAATGTGTTTATTAGGAGAAATTTACACAAATATGCTGAAGACTTTTGATGAAGATTTTTTTAAAAGTCGCAAATTGTTGCAGAAATGGTGAAAGCTGAATATAGGATTGGAAAAATAAGAAACTGAGAGAACAAAAGTTGACAAACCCTTCTAGCCATAGGAAGAAAACAGGAGATAGTTTTTTCCTTGCTAAAACCCTCTGGGATATAGCACCTGCAGCATTGACATTTAAACTGAGGCTAGCCATGCGCTTCTAGAAAGGCAAAGGTAATATATATATGGTGTGTGTTCTAGTGAAAACATTTATGCTCCACAAATTCCTCCCTGAAGGACAGATCTGTGAATCGTGAAGGTTTCTGCCCTTTAGCCAACAGATTATATTCAATAAAAGAAAGCATTGCCTTGTTTACTTTACTTTTCTCATTCTCTGGGACTAGCTCAGCCACACTACAAATTACTAAGGAGTCTTATGAGACCCACCAACACTATCTCCACAAAACTTCAATATTTTCTTGGCAAGATCACAGAAAGACAGTTTCTCATCCCACAGGACTCCCGCCTTAGAACTTGTTTTTTGGCATCACATCAGAATTGTAAGCAATAACACAAGGGGACATTCACACCAGCTTTCACTAGTTGTTTAATGAAAAGCTCTCTCAGTAGAGCAGGAGAAAGAGGAGAGCCAAGATGATTTCAAATGGACAGCAGTAAGGGGGGGGGGATCCTATTCCATTTCTGTTCCATGGGTTGCCCCACATTCTGCTGTGCCTTTCTTCCAATTAAACCTGGGGAATATCTAATATTTTTATGTAAGTGATACATGTGGTGTTCGATAGAGCTCTGGATGGACATACACTCAAGCAGGTGTGTGCGTCTCCATTTTATTTCTCACGACAAATTATCCATTCCTTTTTTTCCTTTGAAACTTTACCCTGCCTACCATTTGAATGACTTTTTTCATTTGTCATGGCTATTCAATCCTGATCAACTTTGTACTGAAACGCTTGTGATTAGATTTCATTCATAAATAAAAAAGCAGCCTACATACACATCGATTTCTGAATGTGGTACAGTTAAGTTTAAGACTCATCTCCTAAATCTGATCTTTAGTTCAGTAAAGGTAAAAGTAAAGGACCCCTGGACAGTTAAGCCCAGTCAAAGGCGACTGCGGGGCTCATCTCGCTTTCAGGCCAAGGGAGCCAGTGTTTGTCCACAGACAGTTTTCCGGGTCAAGTGGCCAGCATGACTAAACCACTTCTGGCGCCATGACAGAAACACCATGACAGAAACCAGAGCGCACGGAAAAGCTGTTTACCTTCCTGCCACTGCAGTACCTATTTATCTACTTGCACTGGCGTGCTTTCGAACTGCTAGGTTTGGGACAGAGCAATGGGAGCTCACTCCAGTGCGGAGATTCGAACCGCCAACCTTCTGATCAGCAAGCCCAAGAGGCTCAGTGGTTTAGACCACAGCGCCACCCGCAACCCTTTAGTTCAGTGCACACTTACTCCCAGGTAAGTGTGCACAAGACTGCAGCCTCTGCATGTTTTTGATGTGTTTTGCATGATCTCCACCAGGGCCCTATGTTGCCAGTTTCAGCTGCATAAGTTATCTTGTATCTCAGCAAGAATCAAGCCTTACACCAGTCAGCACAGTCTACATTCTCATGCCTATCAACTGTGCAACTCACAAAGCAACATCCTGAGATCTGTAATTTTCAATATAATTCCCAACCCAGCTGGAACCACGACTACAGAGAAAACTTTAACCATTTCCCCCCTCCTCATGGCATTAGTAGTACAGAGACATTTTTCCAACCTTTAGGACACAGAATTAATCTCTTTTATCATGACTACCCAGCATCTGGAAATATTTCTGTGGCTACAGTGTTACTGTACAAGAAGTTGACATTTCTCATTAGAATCAAGTGAAACATTCAAAGTCCTGTCTCAAGAGTGAAAAATCACCATTCTTTTGTCCTTCAGCTGAAGTGGCTATTTATCACAATGTTTATAAACTGAACCCTGAGAGTATGGATCTCATCTATCAACAGTCACCAATCCAAAGCAAAATTAAATTAAGAGCTCTTGCGGTGGGGTGTCCTGTTGTTTTTAGCTTTTCCTTGGCAAGATAGCCAAGGTAAGTTTTGGCTCAAGGACCAAACAATATGTGTTGAGGCAGCAGTGGCTCAGAATACCCCAGCACAGTGGCATTCTGGATCAGTCTGGTTGGAAGTGGCAGTGGGTTGCCCATGAGGGTGCCATATTTTGTGGTGGCACCAAATCTTTCCCAAATGCTAGAGACCATTACTGACTTGGGGTACTCTGTGCCAACAGGACTCCCCTTCATGCTTGTTTATCCCTTTGATTGACTGCTTAGGGATGAAAGGAAATTGGATTCAATGGGGCCCAGTCAGTGTGATTAGACAAGGATTGGGGTGAGCCTGATTTGAGTTCCCCACTCAGCCATGGAGCTCAGTGGGTGACCTTGAGCCAGTCATATTCTCTCAGCCTAACCTACCTCAAAGGATTGTTATAAAGATCAACTGAAGGTGGGGAGCAGTGCTTTTTTTCTAGAAAAATAGGGGCAGGTACTCACCATGAAGTTGTTACAGAAAACACCATACTTTTTAACAACAACCAAAAAGAGCTGCTGGTATTGCATATCCTTGAGTACCCCCTGAAAAAAAGCACTGGTGGGGAGAGCCGTGTATTGAGCTCCTTGGATGAAAGGAGGATGTAAATGTAATAACAATAACAACAATAATATATCATTGTTGCATATACATTTACCTTTAACGGAATACTGTACATATATTTACCAGTTAACTGAATATAATACATGCTGCCTAGGACCCTCGTACCTGTGGGACCATCTCTCCTGGTATGCCCCATGGAGGACCTTAAGGTCCACAAATAACAACACTTTGAAGGTCCCAAGTGCAGGGGCCATGCTAATCTTCTCTGTATCGTTCCAATTTTAGTATATGTGCTGCCGAAGCGAGCACTACTTACAGAAATATTGTAAAATTAATGAATGTTAGAATGATGTTGGATTGAAGTTAAGTGGTTTCTAGCTAAATAGGTACAAAAGAATATGGAAAAATTGGTTTTTAATATGTAAAAATCTAACGTTACAATATATCAGGACTAAGGATTAGGATTAAAAAGGAGGGAAAGGAATTGTTGGATTAACAAATTTAATTGGAATACAAAAGAGGGAGGTATGAGGAGGTCCGGGAAACAAGTAAACGTAAAAGAAGTGAGGAAAAGATGGAATTGTTTTTAACTGCTTTTTCTTTTTTTCTACTTTGTATTTTTCCTTTTCATTGTTAATTTTTTTTACTAATGTGATTTTTCCCCCCTTTGAAACTTTAATAAATATTATTTTAAAAAAAAATGAAGGTCCCAAGTGCAAGGTGGTTTGATTGGTCTCAACTAGGGCCAGGCCTTTTCAGTACTGGCCCCGACTTGGTGGAACACTCTGTCACAAGAAACTTGGGCCCTGCGGGACTTGACATTTTTCCGCAGGGCCTGCAAGACAGAGCTGTTTCGCCTGGCATTTGGTTTGGACTCAGTCTGACCCTTATGTTTCCCTCCCCTTATGGTTTTGATTTATGGGCTACTATTAAAATGAAGCTGCATTTTAAATTGTATTTTAACCCGTATTTTAATTAACTGGGGTCCTCCCCCCCTATTATGTTTAATTGTAATTTTATTGGTGTTAGCCTCCCTGAGCCCAGTTCTTTCCGGTGTATAAATTAATAATAATAATAATAATAATAATAATAATAATAATAATTTCTGAGTCTGTAGGTAGAGAGAATGGATGACTGATTTTTTACATCAATTTATTAAGACCAAGCAACATGGACTTAAAGTTAGTTAAGCCATTTGCCTGATTGCATGCACAAAATCTATGAACTAATCAAGGCTGATAGACTTTATTTAACTTGCCGATTCTAAACTGTGCAGGCCCTACATAATAGTAATCATATCTGTAACAGTGGGTGAAATATCTCCCATTTTCTTTCTTTTTCCCCTTCTCTCTTTCTCTTTCTCTCTCTCAATCCCTCTTACTTTCTGGGTTAACTAGTCGTCCATCTGATGGCTGCAGTCCATTAAAAATGTTGTGAATCATTCATTCTGTAGGACTAACACCATTATAATAAACAGCCTATAAAGATTTTGAATAAATGAAATCCATGGCAATTCATATTACTATTTTAATTCATGTACAGACATGCTTAGAAATGCAAATGTCTCATTATAGTACTTGGTTGCTGGTTTTATTTATTTATTCATATCGCACATACATGATTAATCCTAAAGCAGCAATCCTACCCACTGTTATTTGGTTCCTAGACAGGTAAATGATTGTGATGTAGTATTGTTTCCCCAGAATTAAGCTTTCCTGAATTCATTGGGACTCACCCTAGTAACCCTGTGTAGGTTTGGAAGTTTCGTAAAAATTGAATTTCAATGCAAATTCCCCTTTTCTTCTCTTGACTGGCCTGAAACTTAAGAAAAGATTCCCAGAGGTACTGTGAGAACAGCCAGCAGAATACAGCTCAAATTGTGAGACATTAGGTTTAATTGCCCAGACCTAATATCTGTATATCCACTGCTGTCCATTTCTTCCTACTAATGACTGTAATAAAACTGAGTATTTTGATAGCCTTGTAATATCCATCTTATGAAGCCTTTGAATGGCTGAATGCCTAATGAACCAAGAGAGAACAAGATATAGGCAACGTGAACACATACCCCATTTCTCACTCAAGGGGGGGGGGAGGGATGCTCATCCCAACATTATCTTAAGAAAAGTGAAGTTTATGTCAAGAAAGATCAAGAGGAACTATGTCTCTCATATGTTTTGCATTGTGAAGGACATTTGGAATATTTTCATTCTTCAAAAATAGACTTCCCTTATGGTTCACCATGTGATGTGATGAACCTTCCATCTAACTGGTTTTGATGCTTTTAGCCTGAAAGATGGGTTTCCAGTGCTTGCAGGAACTAGGGATGGAGGAGAAATTTGTGTGCATTTTCATGCACATACCTCCTGTCAGACACTTTTTATAGACAACGTTGCCCATTATGCATATTTTTACAAGCCATTCCCCCTTATCATAATGCACTTCTGTTCTTTAGTGCACACTTTCCCTGAATATACATTTTTTTGTATGGATCTTTTTGTTTGGCAAGAACTACAGTGCAAAATAGGGATGCAGGTGGCACTGTGGGTTAAACCACAGAGCCTAGCTGATGAGAAGGTCGGCGGTTCGAATGCCCATGACAGGGTGAGCTCCCATTGCTCGGTCCCTGCTCCTGCCAAGCTAGCAGTTCGAAAGCACAAAAGTGCAAGTAGATAAATAGGTACCACTCCGGCGGGAAGGTAAATGGCGTTTCCATGCGCTGCTCTGGTTCGCCAGAAGCGGCTTAGTCATGCTGGCCACATGACCCGGAAGCTATATGCCGGCTCCCTCAGCCAATAAAGCAAGATGAGCACCGCAACCCCAGAGTTGTCCGTGACTGGACCTTTTCCTTTACCTTTACAGTGCAAAATGCAGAGAAATCTAAATTTCAAAGAATAGCTGCATTTCATCTCATGTATTGGTTTGAAAAGTATGATAATAGGCTGGTTCACATGAATTTGAGAACTGAATTTATTTCTCTCTGTGTACTAATTTTGTGGTGTTTGCTCTTGAACTATAGTATAGATTCAGAATTAACAACCTTTTGCAGCCTATGGAAACATGTGCAAGCTGGATAGATGGTTGTGACCCAGGCTACATCCAAGCTTACACCACAACCTGTTGGAAAGGGTATAATGAAATGCTTATTTCAAGCCTAATTTCAGGGAAGCAGGGCAGACCTCTTGCACAAATCTGCACCCATAGGCACCACATTGGCAACCCCAGTACAAATATATACGGAATCACGAATTCTTTCATCCTTCATTCCCCAGGCCATATATACTTGCTTCTTTTCATCTCTTGAGATGCAGGTACTCAAAGGAAGTGCTCTGTCGATTCATGAGCACTGTTTCCCTGAGTAAGTATGCTGGATACAAATTTTCTCTAATCATGTCTACCAGAAAGTTGGGCCTCTCAAATGGAGATTAAACATAAATAAATCCATGCTTGTCGTGTTGCAGCAGCCCTGGTGAAACAACCTAAGGGGGCAGTAAACAGCATCTTGTAACACAGAAATTAATTATGATGCCACAGAAACCAATTATTTTTATGCAAATTAAAGTACACTTGTTTAGATTGCAATAAGGTTTCCAGCTAGAATGCTCAATGTCTTGTGCACCTTGAGAGTTTGCCAGGAGAAACCTTAGTGAAGTGGAGAAAAGACAATTCTCTGGTATTTTGCCTCCAACCCACTTCCAGCTAACAGGCAAGATGATCAGGGGCAGCTTTGAAGTCACTTTGGTCTGCAGAGGACTGAAAAACAGCTCTTAGCCATAATACAATAACACCCAAGTGAGTTTTTATCCCTAAGCTATTACATTTCCCAACATCTTACAAACTTCAGAAATATCTAAATGCATTTTTTTTACAGTCTTACTATTTCATAGATGAAAGCCCCCAGAAATTGGGAACTAGAAAACCAGCTTCAACTTAACATTCTTAAGATCTTCCTTAGTTAGCTCCCAGTAGATAAAAACCATTGTTGTTGTTGTTGTTAATCATGTTCATAGTGTTTCTTGAGATGAGCAAACTTTACAGTTGGGTTTGTGAATGTCCTTTCCTTCACCGTCCCAACAAACCAGTGAGGCAAGTCAGTATGGTTTCTGTTTTACAAAAGGACTCACTCAGATATAAGAACTGCACCACAGACTACACTTGTTACTCAATAGTGCTCCAAGCTCAGTAGATTACAAGCTGCATTGTGTGATGCAATTTGCAATCATATTGTGGCATGCGCTGTGATTGTCCTCAGGAATCCAGCACAGCATGGTAAAGGGAGATTTATGCGTACTATTGGTGAAAATCGTTTCCTCCACCCACAATAATTTATATCAAGAAAATTGTTCCCAAATGAACTTCCCAATGGGAGTTCAATTCCTAATGCAAAGTACTATGGGGGGGGCATATTTTCACAATATCATGGCATGGAGGGAAGGCTTAAACCTCCCCTCACCATGTGCTGTGTTCCCAAGGCCAACCCACACCTTCTGCATTGTTTAATTTGTGTTGTTGTGTTTTTTAACTGCAATGAGATTGATAGAGTCACACAAGTCCTCAATTCAGCACAAACTGAGGTGGAAGAGTAGGCTGCAGGGACTGGCTGGTGCCATCCTGTCAGGGGCAGAGGAAGGGGGTGCGGTGGGTGCAGGTCGTCCCGGGTGTCACCACTGAGGGGTGTGACAAAATGCCGGGCGGTACTCACCGTGGGGCCTGCAGTGCACCCGAGCCACACGTCTGTCCTGGGAGAGACACGGTGGCTTGGGCGCGCACAGGCTCCATGCTGCCCAAACAGTCCACCTGCTGCCTCCCCCTCCAGCTGTAAAAAAAAAAAAAAGCCCTTCCTGACGAGATGCATCTCTCCCTGACGTTATTCATGTTCACGTGGAATTTAAAAACATTCTTGTTCTCCCCAGGTCTTTGGTGGCTAAAACACTGTTCCTGGCAAATTGAAAAATATTAGTTGGGAGGATATTTGGTTTGTTTTATTCTTACTGATTAATTATTAAAGAAATATGTGTGTTGTTTTTATCATTTTATTAGTATTTACCACACTGGGCTCCTTTGGAAAGAAAGAAAGGGTGAAAATGCAATAAACGAATAACAACAACAACAACATGAGCTGCAGGTGCAATCTGAGGTGGGAGAGTTGAGTGTCTAACCTCAGATAAAAGTGCAAAAGATGCAGGTCTCTAGAGGCTCGACTTATAAACTCTCCTGCTTTGCCCACTTTCAAACTTTCTCAAGCTGTTGCATTTGAGTAAGCAGTGAGTCCAGATCCATGCAGTCCCATGGCAAGCACATGATAGTAG